GTGTCTGCCCACCATGTCCCCTTGCTCAGCGCCTCTGGCCTCTCTCATCTGAATGTCTGCAGTGGCCCTTGGGGACCTGCGGTCGTCCTGCGCCCCACTCAGCGGCCAGGGAGCTCCTGTTCCCACAGAGGCTCTCCCTGCCCTGCTCAAACCCTCAAGTGCAGCCCAGCCCCCCAGCCCCCCCTTTCTGCGCCCACCCTTGCTCATACTCGCCTCCCCTCACTCTGCTCCTGCCCTGTGACCTGACTTTCCTGGTCCGCACCTGCCCCAGGCTTCTGCGCTCACTTTCTGTTCCATTTGGGAAACTTCCCGTGGTCGTGATCTCTGCCATCGCCCCCCGCACCCCGGCCCTTCGGGGTGCCGATTTCTCCTTACCTTGTCTGGGACGCAGTGTGCCCTGACCACCCTATTGCAGTGGCCACTCGCCACCAAGCCTCTTGCGGACACCCCCTGGGGTCCATCGCCGGCAGGTCACAGCTCCCTGCAGCGCCTCAGACATGTTTTCTTTGCTTTTCTCCCCCAGTGGGAGTCTCAGTCTGGGGGTGAGGACTGCCTGTTTTGCTCAGTGCTGCGTCCTGCTGCCTGGAACATGTGGGTCTGTCTGTTGAACGCTGCCTAAGTCAGTGCTGCGCAGGACAGGCCTGAAACCCCTTCGGCACCTGGCAGACTCTCTTGCACGAGCACGCTGTCTTTCCCACGGCTGCTTAGTTTCTGCAGGCCACATGTGCTGTGGCCACTGGCCCTCGCTTCTGTTTTCTCCTAGCCCTGCTGGCCAGCCAGGTGCCCCTAAACTCCGTCCAGACAGAGGAGAAGCTGTTGTCCCCCACAGTGATCCAGCCCGACACAGAGGCGGAGAAGCAGTTGATCCGGGAGGTAAGGTGGTTTGGGCGGGCAGGTGGGGACGGGCGGGCAGCGGGAGGCCACCCCAGAGCCTCAGCATCTCACCATGCCTCGGGTGGCACTGCAGTCTTGCTCTCAGAGCCCCAAAAGATGAGGCCCAGAGGGGTGCTTCAGGTCACAAAGCTAAGGTCAGTCTTGAGCCAGGCTCTGGATGCAGGGGTGCAGCTCACCCCACATCACTGCCTGCTTGGGGAAGCAGGAGGAGGCTGGGGGTGTCTGGGAGCCGCCTCTGGCCTCAGCGCTGGGAATGGGCCGCGCTGGGTGATGGAGAAGGGTCTCCTGCAGAGACGGAGACGTCTTCTGCAAAGGTCCGAGCCGAAGGCGACGCAGGGCCAGCTGCCTGGGCACCCAGGTCAAGGTGGCCTTTAGATTCACCCCTGGAGCTTCAGCTGCTATTGTTACAGGCAGGGAGAGGGGCCCCACCGAACCCCCAAACCTGCCTGCTCTAAATGGGCTCTGCCATCTGCCGCATCAAGACAGGACATATGAGCTTTAATGGAAGGAACTTTAATACAGTGAGTGTGCACTGCAGAAAAGACAGAGTATAGTTTCTAAATCAAACACCCAAAGTCACCCTCGTGGGTAAAAGTCCAGCCAACGGGACTGGCCCAGAGCAAGGCCTGAAAACCAAACCAAGACTAAAGCACCTTCTGGCGGGGACCCATAGGAAAGGGTCAGAAATGGCCAGACGAGTCTGGGAGGAAAAGAGCAACATCAATACCAACATAAACGCGGCCACAGTCACCTCCCCACGGGCCTCACCCACGTCTGTGTCACCCAGCCCAGGACCAGAAACGAGCCGCTTCTCCGCTCCTTCACTCGTCTGGGCTCCATGCGCCCCTCAGGGCTCCTTCTGGCTCCTCCTGCTTCCTTCCTCCTCAGACTCCTCTCTAGATTCTTCTCCTCCCTGCTCAGCTCCACCCTCCTCCTGGGTGGGGAAGGAACCTGGGGCCTCCGCTTTTCCTGGGGACCCCGTTACACTCTGAGGCCTGGTAGGCCTGTGGCCACTCTGCGATCAGAGGCTGAGGGTGGGGGGGCAGCAGGAGCAAGAGGGGTACCGTGAGCAGGAGGGGAGGCTGTCTGGACAGGGGCTGGCACCCACGCAAAGTTGGAGGGAAAAGCTGACCGCAGCCACCCTTCGCGGCCGGTGAGGACCAGGGCCTGGAACACCCCCGCCCACCGTTGACCAGTTGCCGTGTCACCAAAAGATCACAGGCGGACACTCCCAGTGTGAACCGTGGGGAGCACAGAGCCGAGCTCACAGGGGTCCCCCCGCCGGGCAAGGCTTCGGGGTCCTGGAGGCCGTTCGTGTTTGTTCTTTGGGTTTATTTGTATTTCGGGGGTTTGGGTGACCAGAAAGGGGTCCTGAGCGTTACTTTTTCGAAATGGTATTGAACGCCCCGCTGTGGCCCCCAACCCCCAGGAGTACGAAGAGCGCCTGGCCCGGCTGAAGGCCGACTACGAGGCGGAGCAGGAGTCCAGGGCCAGGCTGGAGGAGGACATCACTGCCATGCGCAACTCGTACGACGTGAAGCTGTCCACGCTGGAGGAGAACCTGCGCAAGGAGACAGGTGGGCGGGGCCACCTGGGGCAGGGCCACCCCCACGATGTTGCCCGGAGTCCTCGTGGGCTCTGTGGGCCAGGCTCAGCTCTGCCAGTCCTCACAATAGCCGGGGAGGTGGGTTCCGCCGCCCCCTTCACTCTGTAGGTGAGGAGGAAACTGAGGCACAGAGAGGGTAAGAAACTGGCCCGTAGTCACGCAGCTTTAGAGTGGAGCCAGGACCTGGACTGGGGGGCACAGCGTGAGCCCTTGGTTGTAGCAGGGCCCTAGGCCAAGGCTGACTCAGGCGTGTGGTGAGTCCCTTCTGCAAGTGTCTTCGCTCTGTTATGGTCGCCTCTGGCTTTTGAGCCCATGATGGCCAGCGTAACCACATCCCAAAATAAATTTGCAATTCTTAGCAAGAATAATTTACCTTCCCGGGAATTTTTGTCTTCTTTCTGACCTTCTAGAAGGTTCCAGCCCACCACACTCATTCAAACAACCACGGTGCCAGGCAGCCCAGACCAAAATACTGTAAAATCCACCTTGCAGTGAGGACGGTGTCGGGCACCCCACCGGTCCCCGTCATTGGGTATCGTCACGTGCCAGGTGCTGTGTGGGCGCCTCACCCAACTGCCTCGTCACGTGGGGCCAGCATATCCTTGCGCTGCCAGTGTGGAAGCCGAGGCTAGAGAGGATCGGGCCTCCCGCTCAGCACCAGGCGGTGCTGGACACTGCCGAGGAGCTGGCCCGGGTGGGGAGGAGGCCTGTGCCCACAGCAGGGCACTGAGAAAGTGCATGTGAGCGCCTCCCAAGGTGGAGGCAGACGCCACTTTGGGGGAGACCCCGAGGAAGAAGGGAGGGGCAGCTCCAGGCATTTTCTGTGCCCCAGGGTGAGCCTCCAGCGGCCTCGAAGAGTAGGACTCTGCTGCCCAATCATCCATCCCCATGTTCTTTTAACTCCGTGGACTCTTGGGCCAGCGCGCTGAGCTGGGCACTCCAGCAGGGATCCCCAGGTCTGGGATGTGAGATCTGCCCCCAGGAACTCGCAGGCTTGGAGGCAGTAAGGCCGCGGGCTCATACATTAAGAGCAGCCCCCAGGACCCACGGGCTAGGGAGGTCAGGGCAGGCAGGGAGGGCTTCCTGCAAGAGGTGGAAGGAGACAGTTTGAATTCTCATGGGGGAAAGGGCAGAGATGGGGAGCCAGTGGGTGGTTGAACAGGGCCAGGGGCTCTGACTCTCAAGCTGATTTCGTGGCATGGTAGACGTGGGGAGAGGGCCCTCCCGCTAACCTTTGGAGAACTAAGGTTTCTGAACCCCCTTTGCAGAGGCTGTCCTGAAGGCAGAAGTCCTCTACAAGACCGAGGTCATGTCCAAGGCCGAGTTTGCCAGCAGCTCTGAGTATTCCCCCACCTTCCAGTATGAGATGGCCGTGAAGCCCGAGATCTATTCCATGCCCGACACTCTGCCCAGCGAGGCCGTCCCCAGCCTGGAGGAGAGGCCTGAGGTGGAAACCACCAAGTCTGAGGTTTCTTTTGGGTCTGATGAGTCTTCTGCACCGGAAGGAACCTCCCTGTTCGAGACCTTCCCTGGGCGCGAGGAGTCCCCCAACGTGGAGTTTTTTGCGCCCGATGAGCTGGAGGCCAAGGGCGGGTACTTCCAGGATGAGGGTCTCAGCCAGGAGGCTTCGGACCCCCTGCAGGAGGGGGAGAGCTTCCTCCAGGAAGAGGGGCCGCAGCTGCTGCCCCTGGGGCTGTTGCCGGGCCTGCCCGACCCGTTCGCAGAGGTGGAAGCCAAGCTGGCCAGGCTGACCTCCACCATGGCTGGGGTGGACACGCCCCCACCGGATGTCTCTAAGGCCCCCGTTCAGGTAGCCAGTGCCGCGTGGGCGCCCTGCGGAACTTCAGCGGGCAGAGCTGGGCTGGAGGCACAGGGGCCACTGGGCACGCGAGGTCACACTGTCACCCTCTCCGTGGTGGTTGTCCTGGGTGGCCGGCCAGGGTCACTCAGGTCAGGGGGCTGGGAAAGAGACACCGTCTTAGGCTCTCTGCAGCAGCAGGACAGTTGGCAGGAGATGCTGGGCGCCCGCTCTGCTGACTGGGCACCTGCACGGTTTGCTCAGTTGCCCGTTACATAAGCTTCGAGCTGAGCAGTTGGGGGTGGGGGTGGGGCGGAGTCTGCAGGGACCTGGCTACTCTCGGGGACCACCGGGCCCTGTCCTGCGGCTCTCCCCCCGCCGCCCCTTTGTCCGACCTCCCTTCCTGACCCTCTTTCTCCGCTCAGTTTTTCCCTCCTTGCTCTCTTGCTCTCTCATCCCAGCTCTGTCACTTTCTCACTTGTGTGACCTTGGCAGTCACCTTTCTAGAGCTCGGCTTCCTCATCTGTAAAATGGGGGTGCTGATGAATGTGACCTGTGCTGGTAGCCCCAGCCCATAGCATTAGCTCCTCTCGCCCCCATTTCCTCTCTCCCATCTCCCCCTTCCCTGCTCTTCACTCCTCCCCCTCTTCTCCCAGCGACAGGCAGGAGGTGGGGGTTCAGGTGGGCATCCTGGGATGCTGAGTGGGGAGCAGGGGGCGACTCTGGCCCCAATGTCTCTCTTCCCCTGCTTCTCCCGAAAGCACGCCGCCCCGACAGATCAGCTGGAGCCTGGGATCCTCGGCGCTGAAGCTGAGGTGACCGACGATCTGCCCAGGACCGTGAGTACCGGCCCTGGTGTGGTGGGGGAGACCCTCTCCGAGCCTCTGTTCCCCTCCAGAAGCTGGGACAGCCGCCCCCACCCTCCCCCAGCTTATGGGGACAGCTGTGGGGAAGCGGCGTGCCCCTGGGGGCAGGTCCTCCCTGTTCCAGGCCACGCTCCAGACAGTGGTTTTCAAACCTCCCTTAGCCTGTGTGCAGAGGCTCAGTGTGGGAGGACAGGGGCTGGGGGCTCCTCGTCACTGACAGGGCACCCCCCGGCCCCATGCAGGCAGGCGGCATTTTGAACAGTGCTGCTCGGAGACCCCATACTTTTCTCTTCTGCTTAAGTTTGTGGCACAGGACACAGAGAGCGAGAGGAAGGCGTTGACGCAGCCCCCGCCCACGGAGGGGGAGAGCCAGACGCCGGCCCCGGGACCCCCGCACTGGGTAGGAGCTGGCCGGTGCAGGTTCCGGCACACGGCACGCAGGGTGGCGGGGAGCCCTGGCCGTCAGGTGACACTGAAGGGGACCCACGCAGCATAGGGACAGGGACTCAAGCAGAGGGGCAGCAGGCCAAGTCCTGCGGCTGGAAAGACCCTGCCTTTGTCAGCAACAGAAACTGAGGCCAGAGTCCCTGCAGCTGGGCGGGGCGGGGC